TTATATATTTTATATATATATATATATATTACATACATCACACATACTTTTGTAATCATACTTGGCATGTTCAAAGGAATTTGTAAATCCTGTACTCCTACCCAATCTTAACTGTATAGTACACACAGAATCAGAGTAATGATAACACAGCACGATTTTGTGGAATTCACCCCATAATACATTCCCCAGAAATCAACAGAACATAAGTGGAGTGTTGCGAGTGAGAAGAATTAAGGCAGTGAGCCCCTAAGTCTGGCTTTTTTTTCTCCTGCACTGAGTCAGTAGCTGGGCTAAATAAAATCTCTATTCTTTCTGGTTTTATCGTTTCAGACAACCCAAAACAAAGCAGTCGTGTCCCAGTGTTCATTAAGGTTTTGGATGTAAATGATAATGCTCCAGAGTTCGCCATGTTTTATGAAACCTTCGTCTGTGAAAATGCAAAGGCAGAACAGGTGTGTTGTCTGCTTGTACCAAGAAAATATTTCAAATTAATTGAGTTTTGCTACTATTCTTGCATCACCTCATCAAGACGTATACGTTGCACTGCATCAAACTGTCAGTTTTGCAAAATTAAACTAAACAGTGGCTTCACAGTATCTGATTACACTTGGTATTCTTGCAGCTAATGTGACAGTATGTTTTACACTGTTGTTTTCTGTCCTGCACCTTATTATCCCTGATTCATTTTCATTCTGTGATTCTCTGCTTTATTCAGGCACCTCCACCATCTCCTTCAAAAACAGTTTCAGGTCCATAACTCTTACAGGTCCTGTCTGTGATATAACTATTTCTTGCCAGATAACTCTCACTCTACCAGTTCTATTACTAAATGGTTCAAAGTAGCAGATAATTTAGAAGATTCATCCAAGCAATTCACATTACATGAGATCTGGGTAGATAAATATATAGTCAGCTTGGACTGTCTCACCTTTCACATCTGTTGCCTGTCACATGGAAAGGTTTCCTACCTGTTTGGAATGGCATCAATCCAAGCCTGCTCTTGAATTCAACGATTTTCCTGCCAACTTTTTGATTTGTTATATTACTGGCTGATGGTATGGGATACAATAGCATGGTGATCCTAAACAGCACTGGCAGCACATGGCCCTTATGTTAAGCTCGCCATAGCATCAGCAGCTGCCTTAAAGTGGAAGAAAAAAATAAATACAAAAAGATTGATTTACAATCCTAGAGTAAAACAAATAAGCATAGGGTCCATTGACTTTGAAGATAATTTTGTTCTTATTGTTTCAGCTGATACAAACATTAAGTGCTGTTGATAAAGATGACTCCTACAGCGGACATCAGTTTTCATTCTCCTTAGCTCCTGAGGCAGCCAGCAGCTCAAACTTTACACTACAGGACAACAGAGGTGAACTTCTAGGAAGACTTTTCTTTATTATCTCATCCTTGCTTTCAGTCTTCAGATGAAGATTTAATGTGCGCTTTTTGTTTCCAGACAACACAGCAGGGATTTTCACCCGAAAAACCAGATATAACCGGCATGAAATGAGTACCTACTTCTTGCCAGTGGTAATATCAGACAATGACTACCCTATCCAGAGCAGCACTGAAACCGTGACTATTCGAGTATGTGCTTGTGACCATCGAGGAAAGATGCTGTCCTGTAATGCAGAGGCCTTGATTCATCCTACTGGTCTTAGCACTGGGGCTCTTATTGCCATTCTTCTCTGTATCATTATATTACTCAGTAAGTAGCTCACAGGCGTTTTGTTCCTTTTGTGGTTATTTTGCATTGTTACACGTGATTATACCAAGGCTAGGACAGGAGCAAAGCAAAGACATCCCTGTCTTAAGCTGCGTTTATGTTGTTGTATTTCTTCCTCTGAGGGCTGCCACAGATATGGTGTATAGGACACATCCTATCTAATCTTAGTTGCCCAAAAGTTAGCAACGTCCAAGCAAGAGAAAACAGGTGGCTACACCCTTTGGTCAATAGAAAGAGACAGGATCCTCTAGAGCAACATTCATCCCATCCCCTTATTGGTATCTGAGGTAGACCAAACTAATCACCCTCTGCAGGTGTCTCTCTCTTTCCATTGACCATAGAATTAGGCCAGATAACTTAGTTTCAAACAATTAACTTCCCGTGTCTAAGGAGAAACAAGTCTCAGTGCTGCTGTTCTGTTGAAAAAGGTGCTGAAATGGAGTGGCTACTAAAGCACTTTCTTAAAACCTGCAGGGTTCTCCCTTTCAGGCACTTGTGAATATGAAGAGGTTGGATCCTGAGTATAGAGGATGTAGTGATCTCTGGCTATAGCACTTACAGGTGGTCAATATTTACATTTTATAAAAATAAGGACAGTTTGAAACATCTCTCACATTCCTCTCACTCAGATTCCACCCCTCTTGTACAGCAAACATAGATGATCAGTCCCTTGGCCATTAGCCATAGTCTGTTCATCTGGCAAGAGCTGTACAATACAGCACAGGCAGTTCTCAGGGACACTTCATTAGTCACCTTTAGTACCTAGCAAGGAAAGAAGGGAGTCAGACCAATTTTACAGCAGTAGGGTCAAACAGGGGTGAAAATGTTTCGTCAGTGATTCCTCTTCTTTCTACCATACTCGTCTCTTCCTTGGACACGTTCATAACCATTGCAGAATCATCCTGATCTTTACTATTAACAAAATTTCCCCCTCCAGTGATGAGTCAAAGACCCAGTTGTGATTCTCAGACTTTACCAATATAGTCACGGCTTGCCCAAATAAACAGTATGCCATTTTCAGGAAAGGTTCCCTCAATAACAATCTTACCCCTAATTTGCCATTAAATTCATTTTTCAAAATATGGTATTATTGCCTCTAAGGTCTGAGCTCACTTCGCATCAAGTTCCTTACCAGAAAAAGAAATCTAATGCTGTAGTCTTGCACTCATTAGTACAACTGTGCTCATTAATATCAATCTGACATTAAACGATTTCCTGTTTTATGTCAATCGAAAATAATTGATTCTGTGTGCTAAGCAGCACTTTGTGTCAATTACTGCTCACGCCACCGTGCACCATAAGCAGATTTTCAATTAACTGAGCTATATAATTTTCTATTTTCAGATGGTTGCAGGGTTTGCATGTGCAACCACTACTGAGTTAAAAACAATACTCTGGGCAGACCTGAACCACAACCTAAAGTTTAGCAGCAACAAAAAGTGTGTGTAAATTGCTAGGTTTATCTGCAGTTTGAGTAAGTCTAGTGGCTTATCAGGAGGCCTCAGATACTGCTAAACACTGACATGCAAATTAAGGTGACGTACTTTAACATATAACATCTAATGGGGTCTTTTTTTGCCTGCAAGTTCAGCACAAAATAAGAAAACCCAAGTATCAGAGATGTGACAAAATTATCAGTCCCATCCTTGCATATTCTGTGTAACACCTTTTTTTGTTAATGAGATACCTCAGCAAGCCTTCCATGTAAAAACTATCATTCCTGTGCTTTCTCGGATCGTTCTGCCAGTCACTATTCCAGAAGCACATTCAAAATCAACACTGTGTTTTTCAAGTTCTCCAGAATTTTCTCCAGCTCTCTCAGTTCTCTCATATAGACCTTTCCCCAGTCCTCCCTCATAGTGTCACAGCTTTATGCTCTTAAGGAAGAAAATCCTCTCTTACTACATTTTTGCACAGCAGCACGAAGAAACATCACTCAACACCATAAGTAAATCCTCATCATTAGGGTGAGAGCCTGAAGCTTTCACCATCTGAACCAGCCCTCCTAATCCCTTCAGTTTCACCATCTCATTTCCTTTCAACTCACATTAACCGATGTTCTCCCTTACTCACACTATTCCTATGGTAAAGACACATTGCAGGAATTAGAGCATTTTGCAATCTTTATGCAATCTTCTTAGGATCCCTCTATAGTCAAAGGAGAGAAAGAGTACAAGATTCTTCCACAACATGCTTGAGCACACCTAGAGACATCATCTTGCTCTAAGCAATCTTGCAGGGTAGCCCATCATTTGGAAAAAGAAAAAAAAAAAAAAAAAAAAAAAAAAAGGAAGCTAAGAAAGTAAGAAAGACAAGTTTCAATGGGCTAAAAGGCTAAAATTTTGGTTTGGGGATGTCCTCAGTCCTTGGCATTCCCTTAACAGGGTTACAAATGAGGAAGGGACTGCCAGAAAAAAAAAAAAGTCTTTAACAGTTACTTTGCTTTGACTCACACACCATTTTAGAAACACAGGTAACATGGAAGATAATTTTGATCCACCTTATGATCTCATATCAGTGAGTTCAGGCATTTTCTGAATTGCTTTGTTTTGCTATGAAGGAACTATAATGACAACAAGATGTGTCTTTTCTTGGAGATTGCACAGCAGAGCTGAAATACTGGGCACTGTGGACCTCGGACTACCAAAACAACAGTGATAGTAGTTTTCCTGCTCCATGCGTGTAAATATTCAGTCATTTACCATCTTAAGGTATAAACCAACTAAGAAATCTGAAATTAGCTTCTAAAGGAAGTAAAGTGTTGAACATATCACGTCCTACCCTCTGTGCCCTCTTCTCCAACAGTACCGGGGTTCGCTGTTGAGTAAAAATATTTAAATTTGGATCAGGGCCTTGGAAAAGAGTTCCTGCCCCCCAAATAAATTCAAAATACACCCCCGCACACAGGCATAAAATTATATGTTTGAGAAATCTGCCTTTGGCAGATTAAATAATACTATTACCATATCTTATCAGTCTAAAATTTAAGCCATGTATTTTTTTAAGGTGATGTACATTGTAAAAACATGCCAGGGAAGTTAATAATACTTGGACTTTGTGCTGGCTGAAAAGCCACTCCATATTCCAAGCTTTTTTTCCAGAGGAGGATAGATTTACTTATCTTCAAGTACAGCTTTGCTAACCTTTCATCATTGCCCAGGAGATACTAGGCTTGTCCGTAGCACAAGTTGCATCTTGTCCCAGGGGTTCTAGGTAAATAATACCTGATGTTACTTATTTTGGAGAAAGTGTTTCTTCCTTCCCAACTCTTAGGAAACTAGTTCTGTTCTCAAGGCAACAAAATTGCTGTATGACTCCAGGTAAAAATGTGCCTAATGACAAAACACACTGCACTTGGCTTCTTACAAGCTTGGCATCTCCTTTCTTCTTGTGCACATCCATGCCACTTCATCTCCCAGGGTACTCACAGGCAAAGCAAGCACAGTCTGAAAACCTGACGTACGCGTTTGCAGTTTTGCAAAACATCTTTTAAAACTTTGAATTTGAGCAGAGGTGCAGCATTTCTTCCAGGTTTTAATAGAGTTAGGGATTAACCTTTCCCTTTCTCTTCCCCTGTTATTTTTGTTTCCAGTTACAGTGGTGCTGTTTGCAGCACTAAGGCGGCAGCGGAAAAAAGAGCCTTTGATTATTTCCAAAGAAGACATCAGAGACAACATTGTCAGTTATAATGATGAAGGTGGTGGAGAGGAAGACACCCAGGCGTTTGATATCGGCACGCTGAGGAATCCCGAAGCCATAGACGATAATAAATTACGCAGAGACATTGTGCCGGAAACACTTTTTATGCCACGGCGGACTGCAACAGCACGAGATAACACAGATGTCAGAGATTTCATTAACCAAAGGTTAAAGGAAAATGACATAGATCCAACGGCACCCCCCTATGACTCGTTAGCAACCTATGCATACGAAGGTAATGGTTCTGTGGCCGAGTCCCTCAGCTCCTTGGAATCAGTGACTACAGATGGAGATCAGGACTACGATTACCTGAGTGACTGGGGGCCTCGGTTTAAAAAGCTGGCAGATATGTATGGTGCAATGGACAGTGACAGAGACTCTTAATATGCTGCCTTTTCTTTTTTTTTTCCTCGCCCTCATTTTCAGAAACAGCATTGAGATATGTGAAGTGGCTATTTCTTTCTATTTCTCCACAGCTGTGTGAAAGGGTTCTCTGCTCTACCCATTTGAGTTGTCTAATGACTGCAGTCTCTGTGGATCAGCTGTCAGAAAACTTTTTCTAGTATCATTTTACGAGCTTCCAAGAGGCAAAGTTCTTATTTTTTAGTGCATCCAGTTTACCAAGCCAATCGTACAGGCACAGCAGTAGTGGAGGGGAAAAAAGGATCACATGGGGAGCAATATTTTTACTTGTTCTGCTTATATTGTAAATTGGAATATATTACTGTTTAAGCTCACTTGCTCTTTTTACTTGTATTCAGACTATTCAGCTCAGATGACTGCTCTGTCAACTGTGCGTTGCACATCCCAATGTAATGAGGTACCCTAGTTTACCCTATGTATTATAGTCAAAAGTAGTGGTGATGGAATGAAGGTTTATTATACAAGTAGAGTCAGCTGAGAAAAAACATCAAACATACATTTTACTCATGAGGAGGGTAGAAAGGCCTAATGGTAATTTAAATCTAAGTGTTTTTCTAGAACTCGCCATTGCCCCCAATGCACTGAATCATACTAACACACACATATATATAGTTCATTGACTGCTATGTATATATTCTTCTGACCTAGCTTTGCTGGAGAGACGTGTGTGTGTGCATGTGTGTGCGGTCAGTAGCCTCAATATCTGATTCTTAGATGGTTTCCCTGTTCTAACCCAGACTTGCCTTGTGATGTGGGGAAAGTCATCTAATCCAACTCCAGATTAGAACACGACTTGGAGGAAGGAGCAGATCATAACTGTGCTTTTCTTTATACTTTTCCCGGTTCAGTGATGGCCACTGTGCTGTGGAGGTGGGAGTCAGGCTTTTCATATCCATCTACTTCTACCTGTTCTCATGTGCAGGAGGAGAGTAGTAGCTTCAAGGTGACTGCCATCAGTTGGGGCAAAAGAAGCAACTGCAAAGGAGGAAAGTGGGGTTTTTTTGACCTGACCTTCCCTGTCTGGATGCCCAAGGTGGCTTCCTGACTGTCTGCCCGGTTCTGGTATCCGTAAAGTGGGGAAATAACGCCTACCTCATCAGGATGTTGCAAGAATTACATAAGTCACTTGGAAAATGCTTTAGAGATGGAAAATATTGGCATTCCGCCAGAGGGAGTAATTTCTCATGCTTTTGGGTACTTGGGTATTTTTTTTTAGTTGTGTTTTTTTTTTTTTCCCAGATTAAAGCCATGAATGCACAAGTAAGCAAGAATAAATTGTCATTCCAGTGGCCTGAAAAGTGAGGTTTATCACTATAACTCATTTACTAATTTTTTTAAATAAACTACTCGGCCAGGGTTGTTAAAGGCTTCACCAAAAGGTAAAATTTTAATCACAAGTCTCTGGGCGTGTGTTTATCTGCTCTGCCAAGCTAAGTAATTTTTGTCCAGGGGTGAGGGAAGATGCCATAGTCTCAGGCAAAAACAATTTTCTTTACATCTAGTGCACCACTCAATATTTCTGTTGGTTTGTCAAATGTACGCAGCTGCTGCTTTTCAAATCCAGACATCTAGGAAAAGCTATCTGAAGAAAACCCTAAGGGGCTGCTGTGGGACATATCCAATCCCAGGAACTAAAAGCCACCCTGGGTCCTAAAGTAGAGACAAAGCCCATGGCACCGTGCCAAAGAAAGAAGAATTTTTGGTTTTTTTAATATAGCTTATACATAACTAATCTCACGTATTTCATTTTGAAACAGTATTTAATACCAGAACTACAGGCATGGATCCATTTTCCCCCTCCCCCAAACCTTAAATAAATCAGTTTGAAAACTAAAAAAAAAAAAAAAAAAACCAGCTCCAAATTACTCTAAGAATAAAGAGAGAAGGGGAAAAATTTAATAAACAGAAAATTAAAAGGGATTAAAAATTAATCCCTGGAATTCATTACTCCTAGAGAGTTAAATAAAGAGAGTAGTAAGATTCCAGAGTATTAGACTTTTACACACACGATGATATAATTTGAGGTTTTGTGAACCAGCTCACAGTGAAGCGGATGAGCCAGCCACACTGTGGTGCTCGCCTGGGACTGGGAAGGACTCCTCTGCAGCGGGGAGCACCACACATTTGCAGGCTTAGGACAAAGCAGCTGAGGGCTTTCAGGTGCCCAGCAGGATCGATTAGATGGTTTTTCAGTGTGGAGGAGCCCAGCATTTCAAAGGGAGCTGAGCCCAGCAGAGCTGGGTGCCCAGCCCCATGGCTTAGAGGGGCTCAGCCTATCATGCCTGTCACAGTGGCAATGGCACGACTGGGTCCTTTTTATGTCCTCCTGAGGGAGCCTCAGTAATTTAAGATGATAAAAGCCTTTGAAAGTCTAGCCCTTCACGATCTCCTTGAAATCTGAGCATCCAGGAGGCAACCTGTCTGAAACCTGGCTCTGGCACACAGCAGGGACCATCTGGATTTCAGATACACGGAGGAGCAGCAGATGCTCAGCACCACGTGCCACAGGTCCCTCACTTCGGGCCGCTCTCCTCACACAGTCACTGAAAACAGTGTACCCCTCCAGGGGCTCTTCCAAATTGCCCCCACCATGTGCCTGCATCTCACCCTTCACTGCGTGGGCTGCAAATCACCTCAAGCTCAAAGTCAGGTAGGATGCCCAAAGCGAGCCAGTGAGATCTCCCTTTCCCTCCTCCAGCCCCGAGGAAACAGATCTGTGCACAGAGGGAACAGAAGAGGTGGCTGTGAAGCCAGGCATGTATTTAGCCCTGGGAACCCTCCTCAGCTGACAGGGAAGAGGGATTTACCATCGCTTAACTGGAGACAGACCTTGCACCCTGAAAGGGCTGGGCCACCCTGCAGGCCAGCTTGCCTTAGTCGTCACTCCTTGGGGGTGGACAACAAGAGAGGAGGATCACTGATCTTGTAACTACTTTCCTGTGTTTGTACAGTGATTTGGTCTGATTTAGTGATTGTTAGTAGCAGTCCAAGCTCAAGTTTTGTTTTTTCTTTTCCTTTGAATGGAAAGCTGGTTTTATCTTGTCCATTGAGTGACACAGTAAATAATAGAGAGTGGCTACTCATGCCTGTTGTGAAAATATATTATATATAAAATTATGTTATGTCACCACAAATGTGGTGCCTGAATAGCAAATGGATTCTTCTAAGAAAATTCAAGGCAAACTCACGTCCAAATTATTATTTATGTATCTAGGTTTTAACGTCTATTCTTTCCTGCAAATTAGACAGATTTAGCATCTCTCACACAGCAAGAAGAGTTCAATTCTGTCTTTTCTTCTTGCTTGGCAGTACCACAAAGTGCAATTTATAAAATCAGTACTGCATATTGAATATTGAAAGTGCCATATTACAGTGAATACAAACCTTTACAGTAGTATTTCTTTGTACCTTGTTGCATGCTGGCGTGCTAGATGATAGAAATGAGTATTTAACAATGCTTTCACAATACTAGAATTGCCACTTACAGATAAGCAAGTGTTAGACTATGTGCTATGAAGTGTGTTTCAAGGCTGTTTTAAGCCTGCTATTCTTACAACCATACCTGTTTGAGAAGAAATATTATTAGGAAGTTTATCTAAGCCAGGTAGAGAGCTGAGCAATGCAGTTGGCTTTTAATTTGGAAAAACATCTGATCTAACAACAGGGGACTTATTAAAAGAAACCAAGGAATTCAGTGGAGTTAACATGATACACAGGGATGTTTACACAGGAGACATTTCCAACCTTGCTGCTGCAGAACAATAACATCTCTATGCTTGAAATGTAATAAGGTTTCTAGTATAGCTATTCCTTTCTAGCTCCCAAACAGCCACTTTGTTCCAGGAAAAAAAAAAAAAAAAAAAAAAAAAATCTTTAATCCAGAAGAATGATTTTTCCAGGTTTAAAGTGATTCTGTCCCACAGGATGGGAAGACGCAGCAGAACATGCCTCCACTGCTGTTGTGCCAGGACATGTCTCTGTAGACAGGTACTCAGAAGAGAGCTGAGGCAGAAACTTGCAACGAGCTCTGAACAAAGGAATTTGGGGGCTTCCACAGGGCTCAACTGACCGTACCACAAGACTGGGATGTGTTCCCAGACCTGATGTTGACAGATACGCTGACTAACCATGAGAAAAACAAGTTATCTGTGTGTTTCAGTTATTGCTTGTAAAAAAAAAAAAAATGCTGCAAAAAAATCTGAGTAGAAGAGGAAGACCTCACCTGTACCAACATCATTATTTTCTAAATTTGTCCTAAGAAACAGATATATTTTTTCTGACTTTACTTCATTAGTTGTCAGGTCTTACTTCATTCTACGGACAGTATTTCGTAGTTGTTAAATGTGAATGGAAGTGGCAACCTTCAAACAATCCATTTTGGAAGTAGCAGGCTACATTGCAGGGCACATTTCTCTATTACAAAACAAACAAAAACCAAAACCACAAGAAAACAATTAACTGAAAATTTGTAGTACCACAAAAAGCAGAATGGTCATAATGACAGAATGGTCAGAGAGAACTGGCTTTGGGAATGTGTGTCTGCACATGTACAGTATGAATAAAAAGAAGGGAAATAATGAACACTGAAAGCTGGCCATGTTTTAAAATCAGACTTAACCCATGTCGAGCAAGGGCAACAGTGCATAGTCACTTCTAACACTCACAGATTTCCTACAGCAGCCAGAGGGAAATTTGCATGGATAGGAAGAAAGACATCAGCTTTTTCAGACCAAGCAAATCAAATCCAGGCTGTTTCCATGAAAATCTCTAGGACAGAAAGTCCCTTTGTCATTATTGTTATTAAAACTTGTTAAATTTCTGCAGCAGATCTATCTGGATGGCCTTCTGCAGGGCAAATTATGGACAGAGATCCTGAGCGGGTAACCCTGTGAACACCACCGTGTTAGCTCTTCCTGCCACCATCTGTTTTAAATCTCTTCATGTTTCCTTTGGCTACAAGTAGCATTGAAGTGTTTCAGGAGACCATCTTCCCAACTGGATGCTGCCATCCCATGCCCATTTGTGTTTCAATTAAAACTGCAATCTGAGCTCCCTTGTCAAAGCTGACAAATTATCAGTCATTATGCCACTTCCAGTGAGTATGAACCATGCGGTAAGCTGTGAAAGGTAAGGTTTTTTCCAGCCCCTCTAGACCTGTGAAACAGTGGCTTCCCCCAATAAATGTCAAAGCCACACTGGTTTTTATTTTTAGTTTAGTCTT